AGGTTCCTTATTTGTGGTTCCTGACTCACTGTGGCTGCTCATGAATTTGTAAATAGCTTTTTGTTTTAATTAGAATAAATATATATATATATATATATTTTTTTTTTATTTGGGGTATATTTATCGAGTGAAGTTGGGCTTTACTTGAAAACATCCTACTCTGTTCTAAAATGTGGGCCATTTGTTTGAGAACAAAGCACATGCTTCAGTACATTGTTTCCTTTACCTAAATTACTTTAATAATCTTTCTGGTCAGCGAGGATTCTTAAATTTATTTCCTAGATGTATTGAACCGAATTTAAATTTCTAGCACAGTCTGCACCAAAAAGATGATCAAACATTAAATATTTTTTAAAGAGTATATGTGTGGTGTGTTCATTATTGCACCCTACCAGCCAAATGAGAAGCAGAGTCTTTGCTTTCATTCTTGTAGTATCTGAACTATGCCTGGAAAATAATGTTTATAATTATCCAAGTTTCTGCCAGTTTTTCGACTCTCAAGTCATGCCAATCCGCATAGAGTTGCATCACCTACCCCTACCCGTTTGTCAGAGAGATACACTTTCTTGTTTATACTGATAAAGAAATTCTCAGTCAAGAGAGAGATGTTGTTTTCTGCTACCTCCTCTCCCCTTTGCAGACCAGTGAGATATGCAGAATCCAAGAGAGAACTGCACTGTCACCTTGTTGTGTGTGTATATTCCTTCATATCTATATCCAAGTGAGCAGTCTTATCTAAGTTGGCTCTGCTCCCCTCCTATATCAGTAAAGATGTCTGGAGTGCTTTTCTTTATCAGGCTGCAAGTTGTGTTTGTAAGGAAAAAAAAATTTCTGGACTATGACAAAGCAGAATTGCAATATCTTCTTTACTTTTCTTTTTTGTTTTTACACTCCAAAAAGTAGACTGGAATCTGCAAGAATGTTTTTTGGGATCTTATTATACTTCAATCAAAAGCAAGAGCCAAGTCAGGGTGGAAGACGCACTGTAGGCAAAGGGCTAAGAGCTCAATGTCACATGTATTCACTAGGCTTGATTTGCTAGCTGAGGATGAGGAGTGCCCTGCGGAAAAAGGGGGGGGAGGGGGAGGGGGAGGGGGAGGGGGGAGAGGAGAAGGAGAGGAGAAGAGGGAGGGGAGAGGGGGGAGGGGAAGGAAGGGGGAGGGAGAGAAGGGGGGCGTGGGTGCGGCAGTGATGATGCATTTACAGCACAGGCAATACTTTAGCTTGAGTAATGGGTGCAAAGTGAAATCTGAACCTGTACATTCTTCATTTAATTCTATCCAGATTTCCATGTTTTTGCTGCTTTTTGAAAACAAACCTGGTGTAGTACAACCATTAAAGAAATACTGAAAAGAAAAAAAAAAATGTTATTTTTAAACAGTCTGGTTGGGACACACATGTCAACAAATAAATTTTACGCAAAAAGAAACAACAAAAAATTTTAGAGCAATATTGACAGCGTGAGACGCGTTTTAGTCGGTAGTCACCTCTTTCCACTTGTTTATTTTCTCGGCATTTCGGGCACGTGGAGGAGAGGTGGATCAGCTTGGCCATCACGTTGAGGTGGAGGAAATGTATGACCATCTCAATGAGGTGGAAAAAGTGTATGACCATTCTGTGACGTCATGGACTTTGCACGCAGAATTTAAAATAAATCTTGCGCCGTCAGTATTGCTCTAATTTTTTTTTGTTTCCGTAAATTTTTTTGTGTGTGTCCTAATCAGACTGTTTAAAAAAAAAATTTTTTTCTTTTAAGTGGTTTTTTAAGCCTCCTGCTTCAGAGCATTTCTGTCTCCCTGCAGCCGGCTTTTCCTGAAAGTAACTTGATGAAGGAAACCCAAACTGTTGCCCCTTGGAAGGCAGCAAGATTATCATATGACTGGTTGCTCACGTAATATAATAAAAGGTCAGTTAACCATCAGGTTCTTCACAAGGAATTTCTCGCATTACAAGAGAAATATCAAGACTATGTACAATTCTTTAATGATGGGGGCAAAAGCTCATCTTTCGTAGGTTCCGCAGTATATTTGGCACACTTTAGTAGAGCGAGACATATCGGCAGTGTTGCAAGTCTTTTCACTGCTGAGCTTTACGCTGTGCTCATGGCACTTGAACACATCTTAGAAGATCGTGTGAGGAAAACTATTTTGTTTGTGGGATTCCCAGGGTGCTCTACTTGCTGTATGCTTTCTTAACGTTACAAAGAATTGCCTCGTACAGCAAGCGCGTGTTCAGATGAATCGTGCTCTCCTACTTGGCCTTAAAACTATGCTGGGTGCCAAGCCATGGGGATATTCCAGGTAATGAAGCAGCAGATAGATTGGCTGTCTCTGTTAATGGTGGCCTAAATACATTGGTTGGCCTACCCTATGAGGATTTTAAGCCAGTTAGAGAAATATTCAGTTTATGAAGTTAGGCAGTTAGTGTGGAATTAAGAAACAGACAAGAAACTACATAATATCGCACCTTGTTTAGAATTATGGGAGAGTTCCCACCCGAGGAACAGTTACCACGAGGTTTTGATGTGCCGCTTCTGTGTTGGTCACGCACGTTTAATGCATCTATATTTTCTTTAGGATGACGATACCCTGCAGTGTGAGCATTGTGGCAAAACGTTGACTGTCGTGCATATTCTGTGGCACTGCAGGTACTTGATCAGAAACGATGAGCATGTTTTGCTTGTATTTTTGGATCCCATCTTCCATTTCATCCCATATTGTTTTGCTAGGAGATGAACCTCTTTTGCCATGTATTTATTTGCATTGCAGATAATTGCCTATTGATTATAACTTTTATTCTTACCTGATGTCCATATCTTTTACACAATTCACATTCACACTTTTAATGCATCACCAGCTACTATAGCTCTGTCTTCTCCTTAACCTTTTTTCTGCAATAGTTTATGCACCTGGTGCATTTTAGCCTAGTTGCTCTCGTGCCATTAAACTCCAGTCAGTCAATGAACTGCAATATTAATATTTTTCTAAGCGTTTATTCCGGTGGGTTAGCCCTGTTGAGCACACTTCATACCGAGCACCGGTGCACTGCGAAGAAGCACACTTAACGGTGTAACCCTCTGCAATCAACACTCGGGAAAAGTATGAATATCGCAATTGCATGCTTGGGAAAAAAGCAAACCTTCAAAGCGGGATAGTGCGCGCTCGCGCCTGGTGTATTTAAAGAGAAACGGAAACTTTGGGAAAGTTGATACCTACATTGGAGTAAAATTTAAAAAAATAGACTATGGGAAGTTAAGCTATGATGAATGATGAAGATAGGTTGCCCTGACAACCTGTGTACATCATTTCGAGATACTTTTTTTGTTTTTAATTTGAGATTGAATAAAGAGTATTAGCATATGGCAAGATCAGTAAATCCACTCAGGTTTAGCTGGGCATCTCTATAGGTTAATTTTATATGAAATCCTTGTTTACTTGCCATCCCAAAGTATAAAACTTTCTGAGGTCACGGTCGATATATGTAGTTAGATTAAAATTAGCTTATAAATGGACAAGTGGAAGCTCGGGAACAACCTTCACGAGCTTAGCTGGGTTTTAGTTTAAGGATGGTGCAACAGTAGTGAAAGGCTCGCAGAAACTATTCAATATTCAATTAGAAAATATTTGGCCAAAAACCGCTATTCGCTTCAAACTCAAAATCCACTATTTGCACATGACTACAAATCTTGGATCATTGAAAACCGGGCCTTACCGTTTATCTCGTCAAGCTTCATTCAGAACAACAGGTCATTGTACTTCTGGGTCACGACAAAAGCCACTGCTCCAGTTTCCAGCCTAAACCATACAATTTATGCTTCTTGGGCGGAGGAGGGGTTGTCTTCTTGTAACGGTGAGCTATGCACAATGAAGATTTCATTGAAGGGGGAAGGGGGCAGTTGAAGCTCTCATATTACACCCACTCCACCTCGCGCAGCCACAAGGTAGGGGATGGAAAAGGACGGGATGAAAAAAAGCTTCCCAGTGACTAACTCCAGAAGTTCAGTGACTTTAAGGTATCAACGTTAATCGAAGCAACACTTGTTTGCAAGTTTTGCCGTGAAATAGATTGGTATTACCAATGGCATGGGTGCCAATGTCAAATCCAGCTGAAGAAATATTATTTGATGCAAGTGCATTCTTTGAAATCTAGCATCACGTTTACACAGGATATCATTTATTTTTATTTTGAAAATAAGAAATGCTACCTCGAAATTTCGGAGAATTGTATATGCAACAAAAAAACTGAATTTTTGGCAAGAAATAGACTCGGAAATACACCCTTCGAATTTGACCAAAAATGAACTTTGAAATGCAAAAACCTACATATGTTCCACACATATTTTTATCATTTCTTGGCAGAAATTCAGATATAGCATACTTTTAGGCTTTCCATTTTACGGAAATTATTTTGTTTCTGAGCAAAACATGTTGAATAAGCAGAGTTTAAATCTATGACTAGCATTATTTTTGTCATGGGAGAAACTTTCTAACTGCAGCCTTTCAGCATTTCCCTCAGTCTGAAGTAAACTGATTTTTCAGGAACTCTTTGCAGTTAACCGAAAGCTTGAAAACTGGAGCCCCAAGAGGAAAGGAGGAATTAATGGTTTTCACAGGTGTAGCTGAACCATTATATTTTATTATTTCTAGATTTAGCTTTTCCTTCCCCTAGAAGTACAGGTCAGTGGGATGTATACTTTTCAAATTTAAGTATTTCATATTGTGGAAACTATGCTTGGCAGCATGTTCCTTTTTGGTCATAATATATAAATACATTTTCTTTAAACCTTTCACCGTCACAAGACTTAAACTATCCTGCATTCTGTTCAGCATATCACCAAAAGATTTGACTTCGTTGCTCTACACGGGTGTTCTACTACATCTGTGCCGAGGGGTGCTTACCAGGAAGCCGCGAGCCATGCTTGGGCTTGTGAAAAGCCGCATGTGTGTTGCAAGCCGCAGTTTGGCCACCCCTGGTTTATAAAGTTGCTGCTCCTCCTCCAGGTGAAGGTGCAGCTCCAGGCACAGTCCAACGCCCCGATCGCAGTGGGCTACCAGCACCACCACGAGGGCATGCTGACGGCCTTTGTGCGCATCTACCGTGAGAACCGGCTCTGGGGCCTGTGGAGGGGAGCCAGTGCGGCCGTGCTCCGCGTTGGCTCGGGGTCGGCCGTCCAGCTCTCGACCTTCTCCAAGGTCAAGGCCCACATCAACCAGTTTGCAGTGAGTGGTGTAACCCTCTCCCCAGTGCACTTTTCCGTCTAGAGTTGGGTGCTCTTGACGCCCTATGACCTTGGCAGTTTCTGCACTTCTAAAATGGAAGCAATCGATCAATTAACGAATCAGCCTTGTGCCCTTCAGGTTTAGCTCTTGCAAAATACTATGTCGGGCGACAAGGAATTACCTCGGTTGCACCGCCTATCAACAGGGATGACATGTATCAGACCTGGAATTGTGGGGGAATTTGGTCGGCTCGCAAAATTTTGAGGGTAAAAGTAGAGAATATACAAGTGGAACAAAACGAGAGTCGAAGATTTGTGAGTGGCGTTTAGTTCACTGTGTGTTTTTGTTGACCTGATGGGCTCCAAAGATTTAAACACAAACAACTTTTAGGTGTATCCATGGTTTAATAAATAATTAGTCGACAATCGTGCAAGTGTCATTGGAGGCTCTGAAAGCAAAGAAGCTTGTTTTGTTCCATACTTGCGGTAGGTCACGAGCTGCATCGTAGCATCATTGGAGTCGTTCGTGATGGTGGGCCATTCTCTTCAAAATATTCAGGGAATTTTGATTAAGCGGTTAAAGAAAATGGGAGGGAATTTAGAAATGTAAGTATGCTAAAGACTGCTTGTTTTTGGCAGCTAATAGTATACCATGGCTTTTGTGTGGGGTCAGCATTGAGCTAGATGAAAACTGGCAAAAGGCATGTCAGTACAGTGTAGGTGGTGAAACTTGTGACCCAGTGATCGGGAGACCTGGTTTCACATCCGACTAATAACCCATTTACTTCTTAATTGTTAATTTTTTTTTATTATTTTGCACATTCACATCTTTTCATTTACATCATTCATCATCTTTTCAGGGCCTCTGAAAAGGCCCTGAAAAGATGATGAAGGTGCACTTTTGACATGCATATAATTTTTATATATATGAAAAGTGTGCAAATTTCAATTATAAATGTCACAGGACACGTCCAAATAACACCTCGCAGTGCCCTGAACTGTGTTTATCCTTTAAACAATCGTTGACGCGCATGCTTTGGTAGAAGTTGCAGACATAGGAGAAGTGGTTTACCCGAGCGTGGAACAGTGCTTCATTAATAAAGGGTCTTACGAAGAAAGGAGTCAAACCTTTGGGAACCATACGTAATTGTAAAATAACAGCTTGGCTAGAAAACATTGTCAAATTATAAGCAGTTGTAAATCAGGAAAGGCCTTTAAAGGATGACAGCGGAGAGAGAACAAACAACATTCCCAGTTCCCGAGCATTGTGTCTGCTTTTTACCGGACAATGCTTGGTCACATACCTTATTCTAGCCGTGTTTTCATGATAGAGACAGAACTGTTCTTGCCTATGCTTTTTGCAGTTTGAATCTTGCCTCATTGAACATCTAGCTCTTTGGGTGCTTGAATGCGTTTCTTGTACTTTAGGAGAGAAAAAACTTGCCACCAATAAAGATGACATTGCATCTCATAGAGAGTGGGTGTACAGGCAGCCAAAATGATATTTTTACATGGAATCGGGAATCTATTGGACTGACAGTGCCATTGAATTGCGAGGTTAGGGAACTACAAAGTATGTAATCTATATTGCATTCATTGAGTTATATTTTAAATTAAAATTCCCCTCATATTTAGGCATGGCCTCGAGCAAAAAGTATTTGCACAAATATTTGTCTGGTATAAATGCTTCTTTTCACGAATTACAGATAATCTTCAGGGGTGGAACGGCTGCGCCATTTGCGCCATTTTGCGCCAGACGCATGTGTCTGCGCCATCCTGCGCCATGTTGCAGAAACTGCGCCACAGACAATATCTCGCGCCATTATGCGCCAAATCGCAAAACGTGCGCCAAAAAAACGTTTTATTTTGTCTTGGTTTCGTTTTATCGACTCGATTGTCAACAATGAGGGCGTTTAGCCTGGTCGGCCTTGCAATGCCTTGTTCTGTTTATTCCCCTTGTCTATCCCGAGTCGGAAGCGCGCGAAAAAACTCTGATTCTAAGCGCTACACCACCTGCGACTGGATTCTTACTCTTCAACCATAAGCGGTAGGGCAAGTAGGCCGAGGTGAGGTCGAGTCGTTAAGCGTCAAATTGCATGAGGCTCTGCGGCCCAGGATCCGGACGTCATCCAGTCGAAAGCAAATGAGCAAAATATTCCTTTTAGTGCTTCATCGTTAGGAGTTGGAACCGCATTCTTGCAAGATAAATCGTGATTTGATAGAAATGAAACGCGGTCCGATCCGAAACCTTGCCTCTCAGCAGCTCTACTTATCTGCTCGGCGTACTTTAACCTTGCTCCTGCTTATCGCTTCGAATACGATAACTCCGTTAATCGTAGTCTGCTGCTTCGATATCGAGTTGCACAATAGGATAAACTCGAAATTTGTTGCCCTGTTCCTCCGTGCAACTGCACGTCGGTTGTTTACGCACGTCACGTGGTTCGCACATATAATTACTATGTCGAGCACGTGTGGGTTGTGCGATAAGCAGAGCTGGTTTGCATCTTGAGCGTCTGAAGGCCACTCAGAAAATATCAAGGACGCTATCTTCAGAAACATAGAGTACTTGCTGTTTGATTCTCATTAAGGTTCACAAAGATTCAAGTTTTCGCATATATTACACTGTTATCCCCTCTACCTAGGTCCCTAACCGCTCATGTTCATCTCTGCTGCTAAGCACAATTGAAATTGCTTTCGTGCTTGTCTAAGATAGAAGCTAAAGTGCAATGCAAACTGATCTGAGCTGCTCCTAGCCTGCTCCAGAATGTAGTTTTAGCTGCTCCCAACCTGCTCCAAAACAGCTGTTTCAGCTGCTCCCGTGGCTGCTCCCAAGTACATTTCATGAGTTCCACCCCTGATCTTTCTAAATAGTTCCTACATGAACCCCCCAAGATGATCAGTGATGGCATGTCTATGGAAAAATTAGCAGTACAAATCCTAGTACTAGTTGAGGTTGAAAGGTGACATTTATGGTCTTTCGGTAATGCTCTGGTCTTGTGATGTTTTATCTTTATGCCCGAAATACTGCGTAAGCAAGCATATGCAAGAAAAGGAGAGGCGTGCCATTTCTGCACAGTGGAGAGGGGTGCCGAGGGACGAGGGCGTTGTCCTAATTTTATGCTGATTAAAACTCTCCACATGCTGATGGCGAGGTTATGCCAGGCAGCTTCCACTCGTGTATATGTGTGTGAGATACGCCTGGTTCTTGTGGCAGGTTTATGAGGCTTTGTGTGTTTGCTAATGCATTCTCAGCATGTCTTGCACCTGAGTGACCCGTATGAGCAAAGTGCTTAGGGACAAAGGGGTTATTTTTTTATGTTACATTTGTGTTGTTGCACATATCAAACCTGTATTCTGTGGGAGCTTTTAACCTCCCAAGGTGGTCGCTAGAAATGATAATCTTTGCATATGCCATATTTCATGTTTAAGACACATTGGGAGTCAAAATAGTGGACATTATGTCAGACCTAACATACAGAGAAAGTAAACAGTGTTTTTCTTAATTTGTGCTTTATATTGCAAATCAAACAAATACAGTATTAGAGAAGAGTCGTACTTCAGTCCCAAAAGATTACCACGCTCTTCTAAAAGTTAGATGCTTCTCGTCTCTGTTTTGGAGAAAAATTTTTGTACCAGCGTTCATACAGTTTGCGTGGCGGAATAGGAAATTTGAGCTTATCTACGAGAAAGACTATTTGTTTGACAGCTTTTTAGAAAAAGTTATTTTCTTGCATTCACTATCATAATGTATGTTGGGTGGCTTATGACAGCTGGCACACTCACCTGCTGTGATGGGTGGTAGCAAGAGATTTTGGTTTGGGGTTTGTTTGTGCATGTCTCAGAACATGATTGATTTTCAGTAAAAGACCTGCCTGTGTTGAGGGCATGTAGAACGGAATCTGTGGTACCACCATCGGTTTAAATGTTATGCTGTTGAAGTGTTGCTGGGACTGAGCTAGTAGCACTGGTTTAGTGTTGCTCGTATTGCAGATCACAGTGTGCATGAGTGAGAATCAAAGCCGAGCCAATCTGCACCAAAACACACTGAAATCTGGTTCACTACAACTTTTTTTTGCCCATTAGGCTCTTCGTTGAGCCTGCGCTATGTCATAGCCGCCTATACAGGTGAAAAGCCTGGGAGTCGAGCGCGAGAACAATAGCCCTCTCGGCAGCTGTAAGAGAGAAAGGAAAATGAGAGCCAACACACCCAGCACTAGGAAAAGCGCGGCGGCCAATTGCTAAACAAAACACCTCGCAGTGACATGCGACCTCATGGCCACAATCACAGGCTCTGTCAAGGCAGAGTGCTTCCCAAAACTGCCGCTCTGGTGCAGTGCCCCTGCCTGCCTCGCTCTTTCTCTCCCAGATTTGGCAACCAGTTCTGGTGTTGACCTCCTGTCTGAGGCACCCAGAGTGGTTGCTAAGATGTCAGAATTGCAGTCATAGAAATTCTGTTTGTGAGAAAAATTAAGGTTTATGCTGGAATTGTATATTTGCGCAAGTAAACTAACTGTCTTTGGGTATCTTTACTAGCCTTCTATGGGTGTCTTTGTTCTGTTCTTTCCCACCTTGAGCTCATAATGTTGGAAGATTTCTTTGAACTTATGGGCATTTTTAGCAAGCCATTAGAGTGGAAATCTCGATTATCTGCAAGTATGGTAATTGAAAGGCCATTCATATGATTGCCTCAACATTGTTTTTGACTAAATGACTTGAGACCCGTGTACAGCAGAAGTTGTAGATTCAAGAGCCTCCATTTTCTGACACCTTTTCTTTTAGATCTGAATTGATCTTTGCTTCCTTTTTTTAAGCTGGGAAGTCTGTTTGTATGTTATAGATTGACCACATCCTTTAAGAAATTGGTTCTGCTAGAGCACATAAAGAAAAGACCAAGGGAAGGGGTTTTGTCAAACCTAGTGCAGGCTCTTTTGTCTGTTTGTTAAAGATCAACTACATCTGCCAAGAAAGCACAACTCAGCCAGAGCAAAACACGATAGGAACAAAGGAAGGTTGATCTCAGAGTTGGGACTAGCTACTCCATATCTGTAACCCCAAAGAATGAAAATGCGGATCTTGTACACTTCCCAGGCGCCAGAATCCATAAAAGTCCTTGGCACATTGATAGTTTACCCCCATGCTGCAGTACAAAAAGCTCCGTCCAAATTGAGAGCTAAAAACATACTTTTGTTTTAGGATCGTCAAAATATTAGGTGCTGGAGAAAATCGCCCATCTGCGTCAAGTTCTTATTTTAAACTCTTTTTGTTCCCATTCCATTCATTGAAAAGCATAGTGAAAGATCCCAAGCATGTACCTGGTCTTGCCACCACGCTGTCTCCTTCCACATGATAAAGTCCGTTGATATCGTCAGCGTTGCCGTGGTAACCAAGCTTCTCTACGGAGGAATACCCGAACACAGCGTCTGAAGCCAGCAATAACAGACGTCATCTTCCAAAAGTCGTCTGCTAATGTAAACCTCGCAACGCTAGCCAAAGTCGGATGGGCCGTCGTATAGGTTGACGCCAAGAGTGGAAAGCGGTCACCTGCCGTACCCTTGACGGTTCCAACAAGGCTTGTTGCACTCTCGGGCCTAAGATTATATTAAAGTTTCCTCTGAGTGAAGCGAGGGGTGTCTATGCGCAGCGCTGACTGTTTGCTTCAAAGCTGACTTGGAGCCCAAGCTAGCTTTGCCGCATTGGTAGCGAACGGCTTTGGAAAACCCCGTAGCTGTAGCTGGCTTCAGATGCTGCATTCGCGTGCGTGTTTATAGACATTCGGCAACCATAGCAGACAGACTTTATTGTGTGGGAGGAAATGGTAGTGGTATCGAGATCAGGTGCATACTTGGTGGGCTCTTTCGCCGTGCTTTTCAATGGGCAGAATGTGAACGAAAAGAGTTAGAAATGAGGACTCGACGCAGACGGCCGATTTTGTCCGGCTCCTAATATTTTATCCAGCCTCATACGAAACGCATGTTTTGGCCATCCAACGGCTGTATCTTTTTTTTTCTTCTTGGAATGTTAGGTGAAAGTATCAAACTGCCAAGTCCTTTTGCTCGGCAACATTACATCGTCCTTTTCTTTCCCCAAGATTCATTTGTTGTGTTTCGGTGTGTACACATTTGTCACCCTTATGTCACGGCGTCTGGATTGCGTCTCCGACTGGTGCGTTTACCGTGTCCCGAAAAGTGGTCCTTCGATTTCTGCCCGACGTCATCGTAAAAGTGTCGCGTTGTCGCCGGCCACGACCCTGGCGGCGTTGCAGCGACGGTGGTGTACGTGGCAGACGCCCGCTCTGCTGCAGGTCGCTCTCCAACTTCTGAAGTTTTGTAAAAGCTTCTGCGGCCAGGAGCTGGGGACTCCGCGTCGACGACGACACTCGCGTTCGCTCTTACTTTTTGCCAGGACTCCTAGCACTGACCGTCGGGACCGTTGCAGCCTCTGCGACATTGTTTATTGCCACTTCGGCGCCACTTCAACGTACGGGCGGGATGGGACGCTCGATGCGTCGGTCGGAGACTAGTTCCAAGCACCACACTTACGCGATGTCTCTGCTTTTTCGTCTGTGACGTGCGCGTGTATCTTGCGTGGGAGTGAATGTGTTCGCCCCCTGCAGGTGTTTCACGAGCGTTCCTGGCTGAATGCGCTGGTGGCCAGTTCTGCGAGCGGAGTGGCCGTCGTCGCCACCATGACGCCCTTTGACGTCTGCTGCACGCGGCTGTACAACCAGCCGACCGATGCTCGGGGCAAGGGGATCATGTACACCAGCGTCTTGGACTGCTTCTTCAAGGTATGTGCCCGGCTCGGAATAGGGGAAACGGAAGACTTTTTTTGCTCCTCGCCGATTGATTTTTCAAAAGCCTTTTTGAACGACGGGTGTCTGTGGCTGCGTTTCCGCATTATGACTAGAGCAAGTTTTGCTATGCATGTTTGTTTGTACATGTTGAAGGTTTCACGTTTTGTGCTTATAGATTGACACGCTGTTTACAAACAAGCCCTCGTTTGCCCGCACCAGGTGTGGGCACTGCGCGTGCGCAGAAACCGAATTTACGTGAAGTGAATCGTCTGCGCATGCACAGTGCCGTCCACAGCGCCACCGCAGCTGCGTGACGTCATGGCCGCGTGTTGGCCTATATTTTAGGAGATGAATATGAGGACTTTTTAGCGAAATTTTAGGCTGAGTGTAAAAAGAATTTGCTTGACACATCATATTGTATGCCATTGTAAAATCTATCAAAGAGCAAACCTGCAATAAATTAAATTTACATTGCTATTACCGGTATGAAAATTTTGTCCAGTGAAAACTATGTGATGACTTTGTATTGTTCTTGTGCTTTCCTGAAAGATATGCCGTAATATGCTGAGACATAGCCCACCTAAAATCGAAAGCAAATCGGGTGAAAATAATGAGTAGACAAACTTTCGGTATGTGATAAAAAAAGTAAAAAAAAATTATAGTTTTAGATTTTGTGGCTTGCGAAACTTGTGATTGCAGGAAGGGGCGATAAAGCAAGGACGACCGTCCTTCCCAGTCATCAGTGTTCGCTTATCTCCCGTCTTGTCTAAGTGACACCATTTCTGCTGAGGTCACCATTGCCAGGGTCCTGCAATTACTAGAAATGAGCTGTCTTCTGGTGTTTTTGAAAAAATAGGAAATTCTGCCAAAATTGGCCATCTTTTGGGGGTGGGGCATCTCTCTGAATATTGTGGTAGTTGTTTATTTTATATTTGCGACTCCAATTCATTATAGGTGGCGCCACTTGTTCTCCAAAATGGCCGTTATAGTGAGGGTCAGAGATGCATGCCGGTATACCAGTTGCTCAGCTGGCTTCACTGAGCAGCAGAAATTATTCCTGCTTAGACGAGAAAGCTAAGGTATTATGAGCACGGGTCACCTCCCTATCCTGAAGAAATAAACACTGTTTAGCGGAATATTTACGTCGGAGGGACGTTTTAATTATGGAACGAAACCAAAACTAAACTCTATTTTGAACTTAATTTCTTGGTATAGATGTTAATTTCGGGTCTCTCATAAATTAAAAAAAAATTGGGTTGTGTGTGTGTTTATACAGCCTAGAACTTGGTCTGCCTCACAGGGGCGACGAGTCTCCCAGCTGTAGATGAGAAATTTAGCCAGTGCAGTACAGCCGCTAGCCTGGGGTCTTTAACGTGCATCACGCAGTAGTGATACACGCCGGTACGATGCTCATCCAGATCGAAACGGGCAGGGGTGGGGCTCGAACCCAGGATCCCTGGGTTCTGCAGCGCGAGCTTTCGCTCCACGTGCTCCGAGCTGGTGTGCGCTAGACCACTCGGCCACCGATCCCCCCGTTTTCATAAATTAAGATATGTCTCACAGTGTAATTATTATACTAAAGGAATTGTTTGCGTAAAATTTATTTTGTGACGTACGTCTCCGATCCAGGCAGTTCAAGATATTTGGAGTCCACGGTCTCTCTAAAGACGGGGCTTTTCATACCCCTTAGAGGTAACATAGAGTATTGCGTTTGTTGAAAAATATCGGTGCTGGTAATTGTGTGCTCCTGCTACCATTTCTCGCTCGGATAATTGTCATGTGAAATAATGAACTGCGGGCCTTTTAATGGGTTTGGAGGTATTTATATGAAAAATTGCTTTAACATTATTCCCAAGCACAAGAATAACAGAATCAATCTGAACTTTACAAAATATTGTTACAGGTGATGAGTAGATTATGTTCATAAAAAATTTAAATTAAGAAACGCTGTTCTCACTGCAAAACCCAAAGACGAAATTGGAGTCGGACAGCAGAAGTGTTTGTGTTTTTTAAAGCAACGCTTATATTACATCCAGCTTTGACTGTTTGTCTATCTTGATGACGATTTCATAGTTTTTATATGCTAAAAATAAAACAAAATGAGGCCTTTCTGGTAGGACTGTTAATTTTTAATAATTAATTATAATACAATTAAGATATTTTAATACATAGTTTTTCGAGCTCTACTATAATTTTTTTCTTATGATCTAATTTCAAACGCGCGAACAAGTATGGCACTTAAAATGTGCAAATTATCCTCACTGGTGTCAATTGGAACCTTTTTAATTAACAAGTCATAACCCCCCCCCCCCCCCCCAATTAAAAAAAAAAAAGTAAGAAAATAAACAGATTTTTTTTAGTTACTATTCTTTTTAGAACTATATGCTTCTTTAATTTTCACGCACTGTCTTTTTCCAAATTTCAGCCTTTCCAGTTCAAAGGGACGCTTACCCGTTTGCCCGTCTGCATGTTTCGTTGGCGTTGGAAATTGGTGAAACAGTACTGAGTTTTAGTATTGTGTATACGAGCGATAGCAAGCACTGTGTGTTTGTGTTGCGTGTTCTACACTGTGCGGGCACAAAAAGGCGGACTTGAATTGGAGCTTGGCGACGACGCGCATGCACAGCGTGGAACACGCAACTCTAATGCAAACGCACAGCGCTTGCGTCTGCTTCTGCACGCAATACTAAAACTCTGTTATAAGTTTGATTGTTGTAACAGAGTTTGTTATAAGATTGGGACAATGAAGAGTGTTGTTTGCATTTGGAAATGACATTTCGCGAGCCACGCGAGCCACGATCGTGAGCAGTTCTGCCGTGCCTGCTGAGTAGGAGAACCGAATGACTCTCTCTAGAGCACTTCCTTTTTTCGCCGCGGGAGGGCAAGTAACGAGCTGGAGACGCGAATACGGTCGGACGCCTTTATAACAAATGCCTCTAGTACAAAAACGCCCATTTAACGAAGTAAAATAAAAGTCCCGGCCAATCTCCTATGTGTTCAATATATTTCTCTGACCACTACAACGAATTCCTGTTTAATAAATATATCTGTTTATTGAAGAAATTTCGCGGCCCCATGAAGCAAAAATGACCGGTATTACGAATTTTCTAAGTGAAGAGTAATCGACCTCACATAAATTATCGCTCAAGTGACGCGCGTAGAGAAGAGAAATACTGCGGCAGCGGCAACTGTTGAAATTGCCGTTGCCGTCACTGTGCCGCCGTCACTGCAATGCCACGCCGCATGTTGTCGGTTTTGGGTCTAAATACAGTGTAGACCGCATATAACGTATGTCGCGGCAGTCGCGAAAATCCGCACTATAAGCGGTACCGCGCTATAACCAAAACATCAATTTTTCAGGCCAAAATACATGCCATCAGACAACTTACCTTTGTAAAAGAATTAATTTCTATGTTAGATGAAAAATAAAGCTTAGTTTGAGGAAAGTCTTTATTTCACCAGACTAGTACACTTGTCTCTCAAGTGTCACACATTCTGAAAGAAATGAGCGACTTTTACCTGGCGTAGCTTTTTAACGGCGTCGCGGGCTGCGGACGGACGTTGCAAGCGTTCGGGAATGCTAACCCTAATCACTTTTCTCCGGCGATAAAAACGCGTAAAAATTCGTATCCTTTATACGGTACGCGCCAGTAATACCTTCAACTTGAGCACAGGCACGAAATGCTCCAAATAAGAAATCCGGGCGATGGTCGAAAAATGCACGCACGTGCGTGCGTGCGTTTAGAAAGCACCACTGTAGTCGAAGTAAACAAACACGACGACACGGGCGTTTCTGCCGTCTTGAGAGTGCCGCCACAACATCGCCGCATGTGTAGGTGGATCTTCCCTTCTAGTATGTGCTGGGTTATCATAGCGACACAAAACGAAAATTCAGTCAAGGTTAGCGCTTTTACGCGGAACGATGAACTTCCACCATGTTTCTACGACGGCGGTCACCACCGACGCCATGTTCGCGAATAGAAGCCGACCCGCGCGCGAACACTTCTCCTCGACCTGCGATTGGTCTGTCGTTGCGGTTGTTTCCAACACAGCAGAGGGATGCACGCACGCACGCACGTGAACGACACGTGCGTGCGTCCCTCCGTCGCTATGGCAACTGAAGCCTCCCACTTCGCCTCTCCCCGCTTTTTCGAGCAACCTCCTTGCCCCGCGAGTGCCGCTCGCGGCTAGCGCTGTTATCTAGTGTCGGCGCAGTCGGCGGGCTGTTCGAGAAACCGCACTATAACCGGTATTTCCCTTCGCGCGCCTGCATTTTAAGCGGTGTGTAATTACATGGAGTTCTATGGGAGGCGAACCGGTGGTTTAAAAAAGCCGCGTTATACCCGGTACTGCACTATAAGCGGTTACGTTGTAAGTGGTCTATACTGTAATTTGTTAGTATGTAACCTTGTGTCTAGATGATACAGGTTGCTGCGTAGAAAGCCTGCACGCAGCTACATAGGCACGTAGTGCCATCTATACAGAAAGTGGCACACAAACAAATTATTTCGACCCAAAATCACTGATCTCCATGACAATAACTGGATTGCGCCTTCCCGCTTCGCAAGTGCGGCCACTGTACAGCCATCTTGAGACACTGAAAATCTACGTTTTGGAGCATTGTGGAGGTTGGGTGGCAGCGTGTTGAAGACACGTTTTCTGCTCATTCGTCGTCATTCGCTGAAGACGTTTTTTAAAACCTCCTGTAAACGGTAAGAATTGCCTTTGAGAACACGTGAAAATTTTTACGAAAGCGCAGCACCGCAGAAAAAAGGCACAACTTGTTGAACGCAAGTCTTGCCGGTATTCTTGATCGGTATCCAAGCGTGCGAAGGCAGAGACGCAGCACTTGGCATGCCAAGGAAGCTTTGATCACGCTGCAAGACCGGCGAGACTTGCATTAGACGAGCTGCACCATTTTCCTGCGGTGCTGCTCTGTCTTACAAATTTCCACATCTTTTCAAAGGCAATTCTCTCCGTTTACATGGGGCTTT